GAGGCCGAGGCAAGAGAATTGCTTAAGCCCAAGAATTGGAGGTTGCTGTGAGCTGTGACATCACATCACTCTACTGAGGGTGACATAGTGAGAGTAGGTCTCAAAAAAATAAATAAATAAAAAAGTAAAACTATAAAACTTGAATGTGAAAACATTAGAAAACCTCTGCAATCTTTAGCTGAGTTCTCAGACACAGTATCAAAAGCATGATCAGTACAAGAAAAACTTGATAAATTGGACTTTTTCACAATTAAAAACTTTTGTCCTATAAAAGACAGCTAAAAGAGCAGTGCCTACAGTTCAGTTGAGTAGGACACTGGCCCCATATACTGAGGGTCGCGGGTTCAAACTCAATGCCAGGCAAACTGCAACAACAACAAAAGTATAACCAGGTGTTGTGGCGGGCACCTGTAGTCCCAGCTAGTTGGGAGGCTGAGGCAAGAGTATTGCCTAAGCTCAAGAACTGGAGATTGCTGTGAGCTGTGACACCAAGCACTCTACAGAGGGTAACAAAGTAAGACTCTGTCTTTAAGGAAAAAAAAGACAGTTAAAAGAATGAACAGACTAGGCTTAAGCTGGGAGAAAATATTTACAAATCACACATTTGACAAAAGGCTTGTATTTAGACTCTATGAAGAATTTGTACTAGTCAAATGCAAAGAAGCCAGATTCAAAAGCCTACATACTCTAAGATTCCATTTATATAACATTCTGAAAATGGCAAAAGTATAAGTCTGGAAAAAAAGATTAGTGTTTTCCAGGGGTATGGGGAACACATGAGTATTGACTATGAAGGTGGAATTCTTTTAGGGGTTGTGGAATTACTTTGTATTTTGATGATGATGATGAGTATATGTCTCCATTTGTGAAAACTCATAGAACTGTGTCCGCCAAAGAGAGGATTTTACTATATGTTCAAAAAAAATTGAAAATTTATCTTTAAAATAACTGAATAGCAACTAAGAAAACTTAACTTGCCAATCCATCAGAGAACATTTATTTAGATACCAAAAAAGATTGTTTATTTCTAGTAACTTTAAAGAGTTAACACAAGCTCCAGAGAAATAGCTCACCGGTGCTGGGACTGCAGTCTTTCTAGTGGTTCCGCTTTTCTTTGAAGCCCTTCCTGAAATATCACATCTGCTTTCTTAAAGTTTTCTCTAGCTTCATATTCTTCAGCCCATGAGATATAGAACTGAGCAAGGGAAACACCAATCCCTTGGTTGTGCAGATAACTGTACATATCCAAAGGCTCATTGCATAAATGCCCCTGTAACAAATTAAAAGCATTAACAGCTAAACAATTTCTGTTCATTTATTGAATGCCTGGAGATACTGTATGTATTATGATTCCTGAAGAAAATATTTCTATTATAATATAATATGATAAGGACCATACTGGGAGGACCTAAAAAAAGGAACAAAAGTGAAAGATTTATTTGTAAGAAAAGGGGATAGAGAGGAAAGTTTTTAAGAAGGAATTGACATTTGACGTTAGCCATAACAAGAGAAACGGTTCATCAGGTGGAGAATGAGAGGGAAAGGACATTCCAGCCAGAGAAATAGCATAAGCAAAGATAAGGAAGACTAAAACAATGAAGGGGGTTCAAGCAAGCCAGAGAAAAAAGCTGTGACAGATCTTGAATGCCAAGCTAATCAGTTTTAAGTTTGTGTTATAGTAAACATTAGAGTGAGAAAGCTATAAGCAAAGGAATGACAATGTAGCCTGCATTTTAGAAGGGACCTTATGAGACCAGATATAACATAGATGATTCTAATAACAAGAAGAAGGAAAAAAAATCACCAAAAACCTCACAACATAAACATTTTGGTATATTTCTTCAGTCTTTTTTTACTTAAAGAAAAAAAGGACATATGTCATTTTTAAAGTTTTGTTTTTTTTTTTTTTTTT